GGATGGCCACCTAGGAGTCCATCACCAGGAGTATCTCCTCATCCCTCTCCTCTAGGTCTCACGCCATAGCTACAAGCTCTGCATCGTTCACCGTGGCTGGCGCCTAGGTAGAATCAGTGGGAGCTTCCTCGCCACAGCCTTACTCCGGTTCTCACCCCGATTCCGCTCCCATCAGTATAAACTGCTTTCCAACCCTCGTCTGTCTCCTCTTCAATTCTTCTCTCCCATTCGTGTCTCTCTGCTCGGGCGTCTAGCGTGCTGAATGCTGCTAGTGGTAGGGGGCCCCCTCCACATCAGTGAGCCCCGGAGGAGTTGAGTCCTCCTCGCTGAGAAGCGGTTCCCCTTCGAAACTCAGAGCCCTAGACTGGACTCGGATCCTCTTACCCTCTACGAAGGTGTGTACTGACTCCAGGTTCTTTTTTTTTTTTTTTTAATATTTCATTACTCGCATGCCGCCCTGGGGGCTATGGCGAGGTTAATTACATAGAATGGAGTAACATCAACTACGCATCATAAATAAACACAGAAATAGTAGGACATCACCCCGCCGCCCAGTCTAGGATCTCCGGGTTCGCTAGCCCCTCCACCACGTCTCTCCGGGTTTCCCAGGGTTCCCCAGTTATAGTCCTGGCTGTCGCGTACTGCCACTTCTCAAGCTCTCTCAGCTTCTGCTCCGGGGTGCACCCATCGCGTGATCACTCCAGCCCCCCAGGTGGCGATCGTTCTAGCTAATATATCTGTTTCCTTTTTTTGAGGCCTAGCCGCCCCAGCCTTGAGGCTACTGTCCACGGGGCCTTTCCTAGGCTCAGCCTCTTTCGAAGTGTGGGGTGAACTTTAGTTCCCAGTCTATCTGTAGGTCTGCTAAGCGGAAATCTGGTCCTTTGACTCCGAAGATCATCACCTCCCTTTTCCCTTGGTCTAGCTCATTGCATTCCTGGTGGAGCTCTCGTTCCAGCTGTGCCTGGTGGGTCCCAACAGCTCGCCTCAGCTGTGTGAGTGACAGGTTTGACAAAACCCCATGTAAGTCGTCACGTACGTGCGCATGAAGGTTCTTTGGCTGGCTGCCCTAACGGCGGGCTGTATCCCTCTTCCACACCTCGCGGCTGTACTAAGTATGAGCTGTTGATTATCCTCCATGCTGCACTCCCTATTCCGGACCATCCGCTTTCCCTATCTTGTATCTCCATGCCGTCAGTCCCTTCTCTCCCAAGACACCTAGTATGTTGGGTATGCACCTAGTCTGCGAAGCGGCCTGTAGCTTAGACCCGGTCTCCTTCTTCCTCAGCTCTCTGCCTCTTAGCTATCATCCCCCATACCAGCTTGAGTGGCCACTTCTTCCTGGTAAGGTATGAGTGTGCCAATTCGGGCGGCCCTGTCTGCCTCTTCATTGCCCTTTAAACTTCGATGGTCCTTCACCAGCATCACAGCCACGCCCATTAAGCCCTGTGCTGCCCTTCTCTTCCTCCTTTCCCCGTCAGGGGTAGCCGGGTAGGCTGTCCCTCAGCAATCTGTTTCAGCCTTCCAGCTGCTACTTGAGAATCTGTAATGATCAGCAGTCCACTTCTTCCTCTCCTTCTAGGCCCTTAGCTATACCGTAGCTATCAACTCTGCATCATTAACAGTTGAGCACTCGTACTCTCCTAGGTAAAAGGACTATGCTTTCCCTCTCTTCCACCATAAATAATACTTGATCTTAGTGAGCGGCACGAGCCGAGCCAGCTCGAGCTGGCTCGAGCTCAAACGAGCCAAGATCATGCTTGTGTTTTTCTTGACAGCTCGCTAAAATGCTTAGCCAGTGCAAGGTTTCATAAACTGTAAATACCTAATATAGTAATAATTAGAGACTTGGAGCTCGTTCTGACCTACCAACAACTTCGAACTGCACAATTTAGCTGATAGTAGTGAGAAAGATGAAAATTTATCTTAGTTTAGTTTAGTTTGTCAATATTATTTATATAATCAATCCAGGCTCGAGCCGAGCTCACTTACTCACGGCTCACTCTGCTACTCTCCTGTGGAAAGGTGCTACTATACCTATCAAATTGAGTTCGTTTTACTACATCTCACGCTGGTAAGAGAGGCGTGCCATACTTATGAAATTTGGCTCATTCTTTTGTTTCTCGTGCCGTAGAAGAGTCTTGCCATACCTACATACTTGTTAAAGTTAGTTTATTCTACTGTATCTTGTATTGTCAAGGGAGACCTACACACCGGTCCAATTCAATGAATCCAACAGGCCAGGCCGGCCGACCAGGCCGTGATCTGCATTGGACTGAAACCGCCTGGACCGGCCTGGACCGGCCTGGACCGGCCTGATCCACATGAATCAGGCCAACCAGGCCAGTCCAGGCCAATCAGGCCGGTTCAGGCCAATCAGGCCGGTTCAGGCCATTCAGGCCGGTTCAGGCCAATTAAACGAATCACTCCACAGCTATCCAGCTGAATTGAGGCCAGCATTTACCAGATTGTTTGAGTATTTAGATGAGTAGAATCTCCCGTATGTCTAGAATTTTAAACAGCAGCGGTCTACGACTTTTGTCAAGTATGTATCACACTTTGTATTCAAGTATATATACTAAGAAATAATTTAGAAATGATGGACCTTCCAGATAATACAACAGACTGGACCCAATTCTTCGATGATGATACCTGATGCGCAACTGTCAATTACTGATAGTGGAAATATCCAGGATTATTAAAATCTAATTCACCTGGGTTAAATTCCAAAATCGCTTGAATTTACGTAAATGGCCTGGTCGGCCTGGACTGGCCTGAATGGCCTGAACCGGCCTGAATGGCCTGAACCGGCCTGATTGGCCTGGCCTGGCCTGGCCTGTTGGATTCATTGGTCCAATTGAGTTCATTATGCTGCATCTCGTGCTATCAAGAGGTCTACTCTTTTTTTTTTTTTTTTAATTTCACGTAACTCCGCTTGCAGCTGTTCGCCATGGCAGGGCAAGAGAGACCTACTATACCTGTCAAATTCAGCTCATTCTGCTGCTCTTACGCTATGGAAAGAGTCCTGTAATACTTGTCAACTTGAGCTCATTCGGCCACATCTCGTGCCATTGAGAGAAAGCTGTCATACCTGTTAAATTGAGCTTATTCTGCCTCATTTTTGCCTGTCAAGGTCATATCTGTCAACTTGACCACATCCATTCTCATCTTGCGCCATTGAGGGAGACTGTTATACCTATTAAATTCAGCTCATTCTGCTGCATCTCACACCATTCAGGAGCTATCATACCTGTCAAAGTGCCTGTCAATCAGTTTGTAAGGAATTTTAGTCTATATAAGATCTCGCCATAGCCTATTAGGCGGCACGCGAGTATTGATATATATATATATATATATATATATAAAAACTCTCATGTTAAGTATCAATCAGTTCATCAGTCTGCAGTGCCCTACTACCATCTCGTTTCTTAACAAATGCTGATGTAAGGGAAGTACAAAGTTTGAGTGTTTAGTCTAGTGTAATAACCGACACAGTCATTTCTTGGAGCCTGGTTCAGTTGTGGTTTACCTAGAGGGGGCAGGTAGGACTAGTCAAAAATTAGAGGCTCTGTGCGTCGCTGGAAAGAACTACAGATGGGATGCTTATGAGTGCGAAGGGAAAAGAGTGATAAGAGAAAGGGTTTGGAGAAGGCAAGGCGGGCGTATATAGTTAAATAGGACGCAATGGAGATGAATTCAGAACCCATGTTGTGCAAATACTTGGCTCACTCACCGACTGCACCTTGTTCGCGGTGAAGTCACGTCCATAGGTAAATAATTATAAAATAGCATAGATGATGCGGCTCACAATCCGGTGTCATATACCCACCTCCCCAGGGCTGTGTACGAGTAATGATGGGGAAAAACTCGCCATAGCTCACAGGGGCGGCATGCGAGTAATGGTAAAAAAAAAAAAAAAAAAAAAAACGGGTAAGAAGAGGCCCTGCAATGGCCTACAGTAACATTTTTTTTTTTTTTTTTTTTTTTTATTTCATTAATCGCGTGCCGCCCTATGGGCTATGGCGATGTATATAGTCACACTAAGAGAAAAGGAAATTTAAGTACATGGTATTCGGACCGGGACCCTGAGCCTGTCTTATTTCCGGTTTGGCTCGTATTCCTCCGATCTCAGCCACCTCCCTCCCAGCCTAACCTTTCCGACCTCCACCCTTGTCTTTGTATACAACACTATCGAACTTGCCTTCTTTCCTTCCTCTTCAAGTGTCGTTTTCTTCGCAACCATCTAATGCCCGTAGTCTTTTTTCCCAGTACTTGGTTGTCTTCTTCCAGCCATTTCCTCACCTTCTCCAGATCCTTCCTGGTGGCAACGCCGTGTATGACTATGCCTGTGGCTCGGAGGGGGGGTCGGCTGGTGTTGCTTGTCTGTTTGCGGGGGGTAACCTGACTCCCCCCCAAAAAAAACGCAAGAAAAAGTCCTCACTTGGGGGTCACGGTAGCGGACTACAGTCGCTCATACTGTACTTGTGGTTACTTGAACTGGCGACTGTACGGTCACAATTCTACTCACGCCCCACACTTCTTCCTCTTCCCCACTGATCCTTGCTCAAATTCACTGTCAACTCCACTTACATCCTATTCAAACTCTTGCCCAGTTCCTACTTATACTCTAGAATTAACCACCTCCTTGGCCTCTGTGATTGCTTCTTCACTGCTGCCTCTCTTGCCACCCTCTGTAGCATCTTAGTGCTCTACTGCAAGAAATACAAACAAGGAAAGGGAAAGGTGAGATGACTTTAAAGCATTTTACATACCTATTTGCTGAAAAACCTGATTTTCATGTACGGATCTGGGGTAGATAGATTAGCTATATTTCTGAGTATAGAAGATTTCTTCTCACGTGTAGACCACATCTGTCATGGCGAAGGGCACGTCTTGTTCCATATAGTGTGCACAGTACCTACCACATTGGTACCAGTATGTACTCTACAGTTGGCGTAAAAGGATAGGTTTGGTGAACGAAAAAAGCGAAAAAAAAAAAAGTCTTCCGTCGCCGGGAATTGAACCCGGGTTCTGAGAGTTCACAGGATGAGAGTCTCAAATGCTAGCCACTACACCACGACGGATTAGATATTATTGTTTATCCAAAAAGGCATAACACCGTCACTCAACTTTTGAATAAGCATGACCTCGGTTTCATCTCACTCTTCAATTGGCTTTATTCCATTTAGGAAAGTAAACCCTAGAAACACCAAGTTATTCCGCTATCCTGATCGTTCTCCTGCTTGTGATCTGGTATTACTGCACAATTACAACCCTTACAATTTCTTGGCATACAATGCATATGCATGCAGTTGCCAGCACCTGCGCACATCGCCTTGTGCGGAGATTGAATGGCGGGCCTTATTCACTGTTGGCCTTTCTTTCAATATTGTGTGATAATGACGAAGTTTTGTCTAGTAAAAGACTATACGCTTTTGGATGAAAACCTGAATTTTCTAAAGCGATATTTGTGTCGACGTGGAAAGTGGAGGCCTAGCATAATGTGGAGGCCTAGCATAATGTAGTGGCCTAGCGAACATGGAAGCACTTCAGGGCATGTGGAGCGAATAAAAGAGCAGCGGGATCGACGCGCGTCGTACAAAACTGGAGGTGGGGTACTCTGTTTTGGAGGCCTTACAGAACAACATGGTAGTATGGACGATTCGACTGGCCTGCTCAACGCCTCAGCAGGGTATATATATGGCGGGGTAGGCGCCTCAATGTGAGGAATTGTGTTGTTTCCTTACAGCTGCTTGCTACCTATTTTTGCACTGTTTGAATATTTTTTCCTGAGACGATACAGGTTCTTTCTCCACTTGGATACCATCTGTTTACTCTGACTGTCTTCGGACCACCTCCTACCTCATAACTTCCGTCTCTCCTCTAGCGGAACAAAGCCCACATTCAGCATGAGCTCTGGCCTCACCACAAGCACCCCCGAGTGCCCCGACGACTCCAGTTTTGGCACCGTCGAGCACAGGAAGAACAAACCTACCCGCAACCCCCCTACTAGCTCCACCTACACTCCCCGCAACTACCGTCACCACAAACAAAACACATATAAATCTCAGCAAAGGCCATTCCGGGAAGGAAAATCACTCGTAATGAAGGATTATCCACAGGGAAAGGCGGTCGCGGAGTGGAGTGTGGAGGATTTGGATAGGGAGCTGGACACGAAGGGAAACAGGAGAACTGGGGGAGGATCACCAAGGAGGGATATGAATTGTTGGCGTCCTACAATTGGGTGGAGAGGGATGGTGTTCCGAAGATTGTGGTGCCGGGTGAGTGCTGCACCTGAAACGATACCATACTTCTTTTGGTTTTTCGTGTTCAGTGGTGAAGGCGATCCCAGAAACAAAGAATTGATAATTTTCCGAAACAGTGGGGCTAATTTTAATTGATCTTCACAGGATCACCGGCCCGCTGGAACCCCCCAACCCTCCCTGCCTGGCTCACTCCGGACCAGGGCAGATCCTTCATCGACCAAAACTCTTTCCGCCACCCTTCATGCCCCTTCCTTCCGCTCTTCCTTTCTCTCTGGACTCTTCGCCCCACCTACTCCCTCCTCCCCGTCTCCCTCATCACTGACCGCAACACGCTCCGCAAACTCTTCCGCTTCGTGTGCGCGGATCCTAACCACGTACATGACTTTAAGTTGTACATTCAGGTCGTGCATAACACTGTAATACTCAATAGATGGGAACCACAGACAGTTCACATCGCGAGACCCGGGGAGAGAAGCTATGGCCACGGATTTCATGACGCATTTTCGAAGTATGGGAAGGAGGTTGAGGGGAGCAAAGGACATAATAGGGTCGCGCGGTATAGGTTGGGGGAATAGATATGGTGGTGAGGTTCTCAGCGGATGCATACTTGGGGAGGAACAGTCCTTATTTGAAGAAAACCGTGGATGTTGGGAAAGTGCAGGAGAAGCGGGAACCAGAGAGGGCTCCGGAGAAGGGAGGGAAGGCAAAGCTGGCGACTCCGCCGTCGTCAGCCGGGGTTGCAGGTAAAAAAGCGGAGAAGGAGTCAGAGTCACCAGATGATTTGGCGGACCAGTTGGGGAAAACGTTGAATTTGAATGAAACCACTCCTCGCTCATCCCACCGTGCTCCCACTCCCCCTACTTCCCCGCAGTCAACTACCTCGACACGGCTCAACCCAGGCCCCCTCCTCCCCTCCCCACCATTGTCCCCATCCACCGTGCCGGCCACCTCATCCCCCAGTCCCACATCTTGGAAATCAAGACCCGCTCCCTCCTCTACTGCTCCGCCATCGACCTGACCGATCAAATTCCTCAAATGTACTTTTCGCACACAACAAACCTGTTTGTCGGGTACCACCAGCGGGGATCCTTTTCGCGCGTGGACCCGGACGCTTTAGACGATGACAATTTTGCCGGATGGGAGGGGAAGCATCAAAGGGAGTTGGGTAGGTTGAGGGCGTTCTTTGGGTTGATACTTGAGAAGGCTAGGGGGCTAAAGGATGGGAAGGGGCAGATTGTGTATGCTGGGGCGTGGGGGCAAAGATCAAGTTGCATGGGATGAAGGAGGGCGAGGAGTTTGTGGGGGAGCTGCCGGAGGAGATTAAGAAGAGATGGGGGGTTATTAAATGGGACGCATTTGCAATACATTCAATATGTTGTATTATCTCATGATGGCATAGGTATGTATGTATAGTCCATATATTTGCACAGGATGACCATCTAAATTTTATTCATGCTTGTTCATTTGATATCGTAACCATACATGATTGGATTGGTGAGAGGCAAACCCAGGTTACAATCGTAAACTGAAATATTTGAATACCGAAGCTGGTTAAATGGTGTAGTGGTTATCACATCTGTCTTACAATGTGCTTGCACAATGTGCACAGAAGGTCCCAAGTTCAATCCTTGGTTTAATCATTTTTTGCATTTTGTTGCCCATATTTCTATCAACATTCCACTGACGCTCGTGAAGCTCCCCCAAATCCCTGCTCCTACTCTACTGTCTTCTATCTTGCTGCCGTCTGAGTAGAGAATCGCTTTCTCTCTTTAAGCTTCTTCTATCGATGTCCCCCACTCTTCTCTCCCCCGACCCTTTCTGCCGATTCCTCCGCCACTTCCACCCCTACTCACACTCCCCCCCCACGACATCTCTTCCCCCTCCTCCGTGAACCTTGCCCACTGCCCCTGCCAGCGGTTGAGGATCGCCTCGTACCAGTCTCCCTCTCCCAGTGCTGTCGCAAACCCGTCTGGGTGCGTGGAGGAACTTGGTATTTCACGTGCCATGACGAGGGAAGGCCGGAAGGGGAGGTGATTACTAGAAGGGGAAGGGGGTACCAGACAGGAAAGGGTATATAATGAGGGGGAGAGAGGGGAGGCCTCAAGACATCATCATCATCGTTACAAGGTAGAAGAAAGTCAGACCCATAGACCTCGATCAATTCCAGCTATTTGCTCCTTCTTCCCTCTAGTCCACTTTACTCCTCTACAGTGCCCACTGCATCGCCCAGTCCCTCAAGTTCCTCCCTCCCTCCTCCCTCTCCTCGTTCCCCTTCCGGAAGTCTCCTAAATACTTCGTAGTCGATTAGTTTGATTGACCCGACTCTGCCTAAGGCAACACAGTCCACACCATCTACGCGGAACGCAATGTGCAAATTGAGCAGCCCTCATGCAGAAGTAGCTGCTCAAACCTCCGCACCCCCCTAAGCATGACGCCAACCCCTTTCACCGCATGCAGGGATGTGAAGCTAGAAGGGACACCAGCCTCCTCATCCTCTCCAAAAGGAAATGACCACCATCTCCAGGGCCAATTCTACTGCAAAGACCATTCTCCTTTAAGTCAGAATTATGACCTGCTACCTCAGCAGTAGGCGTTAATTGCAGGGTGGCCTGGGGGAAGACAGTTGCAAGAGGACTATTGGGTGTAGCAGTCATGTGGGTCAAAGGACACTTGACTCAGGAAAGAAAAAAGGATCGTGAGCAGGAATGACATCGCTGTGCGTAGCACGCAATTAATACTTCTGCGTAACAGAACAGTTCGGTATATGCGCATGCATGTGTATGTCGCACGGCGGGCTAGGGGAACAACCAGTTATAATGCCGGAGTCATGGTTACATTATTCTCCACAACTTGCAAAAAACGATGATAACATAGCATAGTAATGGACGTGCAGGAGCAGGGGGCCAATAAAAGCTCGAGAGCCATGCTCATTATAAAGACGGTGGAAATGCTGGGGCTACATGCAATCTTGTGGCGGTAAGTTTCTCGCAAACGAGAATTATTATAGAAGAGAGAGGAGAGGGGGGGGGTTAATCAGGGTAACGTGGGATTACACCATCCGACGTTTTATGCAGAAAAGTTGCTCTTGGTCAATTGTCATGCTGCAAATTTTTGCATCAAGTCTTGGCATATATTTCGCTGCACCGTCGCCAATTTTGAATTCTACTTCTCACACCTGAAATAAATTTGATAAAAGCACTGGGACACTTAACTATGATAATCTTACTTTCGTTCAAAGATGCACGAATCGCACGAAGGAAATATCTAAGGTAGTGGTGGAGTTGTTTTTAAAACCATGTATGCAGTAATTGTATATATGTTTTTTTTTTATATCATTACTCGTATGCTGCTCTAAGGGCTATGAAAGAGATTGAATACATTGGAGATAATTTAGGGTTAACAGAGATTAACAAAAGTTAGCATAACATGAATGGCATAAAGCAGATAAATATACGGGCTTGTGGAGACCTTATCTCTCTGTCCACCTTGGCAATTCCACCAGGGGGTCCCCTTCTCTTTCCTCTGTGGCCGGTGACCGGTGGCTTGTATATCGCTTCCAATTCTCCCTGTCACATCCTCCTCCATACACCACACCGGTTCAAGATGTGTGTCGTTGTCTCTTTCTCCTCCGCGCACCATCTACATTCCAGGCTGTCTACAGTACCTTGCCCACTTGGTGCCTTCATGCGCTCCGACCTTTTCCTCCCAGAAGGTCCGCCAGGGTGCATACAAAGCTATCCAATCTCTTCAACGGTCTGTATTCCATGTCCAGTCTATTCCTCTCCTGGGCTTGCTGTGCTTTGTGCTATGCGTATTCACGCCTCTGTGACTACCTCGTCCTGGTATGGTAGGAAAGTCCCAACTTTCGCCACCTTGCCTGCCTCTTCATTGCCCCTCAGTCCCTTCTAACCCTTAACCCTCATTACCGCCACATGCAGGCCTTCCCGCACTATCCTTACTTCCCAGGCCCTCCTGCATGTGTCTCCGGCTCAATGTGGAGTCGGCTTCCCCGCCGCAACCCCCTTCCGTCTGTTGATTGCTACTTGCGAGTCCGAAATGATCAGGAACTACTCATCCCCTTTCTCTAGAACCTTGGCCATGGCTATCAGTTCTGCATCAAGACTGTGGCCCTTGCCCCTAGGTAAGTGGATTCCAGCCTGTCACCCCGCGAAAGTCCTGCCCCAATCCTGCCCTCGATCTTGCTGCCATCCGTGTATACCACTGCCCACCTTTCTTCCTCCGCATCTGTGATTTTCCTTTCCCAGTCTCCCTTCTCTGCCGGCGATGGCAGGGTTTGGGAGTATTGCCAATGAGAGTTGATCCTTATAATCTATGGTGCCGCTCAGGTATCACGTAGCCCTCTCCCCCTCTGATATCTTCTCTCTCCCTAGGCCATGCCCTCCACCCTGGCCCTTTCTCCTTCTACGACTATCTGGACTGACTCTCAGACATGACTGGTCGACCTCATCGGAGTTGGCTTACAGGATCGGATAACATTGGGCGCCATGACTTTCCAAGTATTAAGCTTACCTCTACGGGCAAAAAAAAAAATTACCTCTACGGGCCTCGCACCCTCATTTGTTAAGCCTGTCTCCGGGCTTCGAGGGCTTGCCCAGGGACCCTGCCATGGCCACGTGCTACAAGCGGGGTTATGTGATTTAAAAAAAAAAAAAAAAAAAAAAAAAATTACCTCTACGGACCTCGCACCCTCGAGAAGAGCGGGCCAGGGCCGCAGCATTGCGGGCGTCGGTCAGACTCCGGCCGGCAGCAATTATGGCAGCAGGGTTCCAGACTGTGGCGGCAGCAGCAGCAGCAGCGGTGGCGGCGGCGCACCCAGGCACCACGCCACGCAGGCCAGCGTCCTGAATATAATCTAATGTTGCTGACACTTCGGCTAGGATGTCACTGAATGCAAATAAAGTTCCTTGGTAATAAATACCTATCTTTCGAAAGCAGTTGGTAATAGAGCTTGTAGATAAACAAGAATTCTATGCTGTTGCCATATGATTGATTGCTTGCATACGCAGCGAGCCATGTGCTCTTCATACTTGGTAGACTGAACCCTTAGTTTATTGGCAACATCCCCGTAATGCTGCGCCACACTGTTGCCGTGACAACGGTAGCTTTGTTTACAGGAAACTCGGAGAACTTTGGAAAAATTCCCCGTAATTACGGGGGAAACAGCACATCTTTGAGCAATGCCTGCAACCATTTAATCAAGTCAGATTGCCTTCAAAGTTTGTACAGAGTGAATACCTATCATGAAAAATTGCCTTACAAATTTCTGTCTTGATTCAATTTCACAGATACCAACAGCACCATTTTTCCCCCGTAACCTTTATTCACACAATTGTCATGCCTCCAAGGCATCCAAGAATAACCCCTTCAGCATCTCCCACCTCTTAAATAGGTCTGCCAAGCTCAAAAAGACTAGAAAAAAGGGACTCTGCAAGCTGAACCTGCTTCAGCAAGTCTGAATTGTTTTCTCCGCTAATTTCTTGTAGATAAGCCACTGTGAGTGTAGAAAGTACTTTGAAGAGAGTACTGCACTGCTGCCTGTAGCTGCCAAATGCTGTAGGTGCATGTGCGTGGTTAATGGCAGGTGGATATGTTGCAGTAATTGGTGTCGGGGGATATGAACGGGAAGTGGATGCCAAACCTCTCATTTGCAGAATTGCTGCTAAGATGACTAATGCAATTCGGGGAAAATTTACGGGGATGTTGCCAAAGCTCTCTATTGGCTTTGTAAGAAACTTCGTGCTATGTATTTTCTATACATGTATGGCGCTGGAAGCGTCGTCCTAGATTACAAAGATCATTAAACAACTTAGTCTTGTTTTATCCTGTTTCGCTCTATTTTACAACAGTGTTAATGGCTCGTAAACTACAAGGCGGAAAGTGACAGCAGACTGAACACTGGATATAGGTAACTCGGCATCAGTAACGTTGGCTCAGAGTTGTACTTGGTTCCATATATGGCCACTTTTTTTTTTTTTTTTTTTTTTTTTGTTTGTTTGTATTATATCATTACAGTAGTCGTATACCTTCCTGGAGGCTATGACAAGATAAATACAAAGGAGACAAAATGAAACAACAATCGTCTATCACAGCCTCTTATATAGAGCCCACAACCTCCACTGGTGGTGTTGGCACAGAAACGCAAAAGAACTGCCAAAAACACGAGGTAACAATAATGCTGCCCGGAGAAGGCTATCACCCACGATCCTCACTAGTCATGCAGGCCCAAAGGATTTTTTTTTCTTTGAATTATTACTCGCGTGCCGCCCTACGGGCTCAGCTTGCTCCTCCAAATATACAACGATCGAGCTTGTGAGTTTCCCTGCTCCATGAGTCTTTCTTTCTTTCTCAACCACCAAATCCGAGTAATCTGCCCTAAATCCCTGTTAGCACCCTCCAGCCAGTTGCGCCCATTTCCTAGTTTCTTTCTTGAGGCTATCCGTATATAGCAATGCTGAATTGCTTCTTTCTCTGAGGTTTTTTTTTTTTTTTTTTTTATCATTATTTGCATGCCGCCCAGTAGGCTATGGCGAGGTTCTCTGAGGTTTCTCTATGGTGGTGGTAAGGGGTGTGTTGGTAGTAGGAGGGGGTGTCGGTGTTCTGGCCCACCGACGAACATTTT